ATTCAGTGATTTTGGGCCAATTTCAGCTTTTTTCAGATAATTTCAACTGTATTGGACTAATTTCTGCCTCTTTCAGCCCTAGTGGGCACAAATAAGCTCACTTCACTTCTTTTTCGAATGTAAGCTTTTTTCTATATTTCTTTAGCTACTATTCAGCTGTTTTGGGGAAATTTCAGCTTTTTAAAGATAATTTCCATTTCTGCTTTCTTCTGCTAATTTAGGCTTGTTCTTCCTTTTCAGCTACATTTATGCATGTTTTTAGCTAATTTCAGCTGTTTTTCAGCAGGTTCTTCAGCAAGATGCGTTTACACGGCACTTTTGCAGGAAAAGCAAATTCTCTAGTTGTGTGAATGCTTCGAAGAAGTCTCTTTCTCACCCTTAATCAATGCTTAAAAAGCAGCTATTAATGATTTATAAAGTGTTTATAGAGGAATTAATAACATATCTATAAACTATTTATTACCCATCCATACGGGGAGCCTTATTGTAAAGTGGTATTGTTTGTTTTTACAATCCTAGTTTAGGTTTTTGTGATTTTTGAAGATGTTGCCACAAAATGTTCAACTTGAAGCACAGGCGATACGGTCGTTACGTTTGTTATCTGGCACGCAAAATCCAAACTTTAAAAAGTGTTCAAACTGGCCTGCTGGTCCGAGATGGATCAAATCTTTGTCGCTTCCTATTTTGTGTAAAATTTGAATCGTATTCATTCCAGACTTGTCGTGGCAAGACTTTCAAGTTGAAAAAATTAAAACATAATAAGAAGTAATTATAATACATACTCTATTGTTAACTAATTCTTAAATAATCAAGAAATAATCCTTGTAAAACTGCTAATAGAAAGCAAGGCACAAGAAATGAATGCTTAAAAAAAACAATACGTCATATTGATTATTCTGATGGAGCGTTCTCAACGATCCAAGAAGATAAATCTTCTTTCTCAAGAATTCTTTGAAAACGAATCCGTCCAGAGGACCTGACCCCTCCTCGCTAGATGTCACGACGAAGCTCATTCATACAGTTAGATAAATAAATTGAAATATTACGTTAAGTACTGAAGTTGTGTCTCTTTTTCAGTAAATGTCGACCAAGACTGAAACAAGTCTGTAATTTTGACTCTGTTTACGCTCTTTCCTAAATCTTTGCAAACAAGGGAAACCCTGGGCCTCCCTTCAGATCTCAGTGGGATTTGCCTGGTTAAAAAAAGCTTAATAATAATAATAATAATAATAATAATAATAATAATAATAATAATAAAAATGGTAATGAAAGCTTCTTATTTTCAGAAAGAATTTATACATAAAATAAAGGCATTTTTGTCTTTTCCCCAGTCTGTCTCACTTTCATGGGACATGATGCGTCCTCTTGTACCTCACATCCAAACTCATTGATTCCATCCTGTCTCACTATTGACTCTTGAAAAGTGGACGAGGTGACACTTCTAACTTGTAAAATCTCCTACATGGAAATGTTTGCAACATGAAAATGTATGTGTGTGACAACCATATGCTTCTACCAATTACAGTAAAAAACACTTAGATTACAAAAAGACTATTTCAGGCGTGTTTTCTACTTCAGTTAATCCCTTCTGTTTCCAGGAGGAAGCCGCTGCACCATCGTTCAACAGCAAATCAAGATGATAAATGTTCCTCGCTCTCCCTGAAGCGGCACAGCTTTACCTCTCTTGATGACACGTGTCCAGTGACCACAGACATCTCGCATACGAGGCACTCACACTTTTTTAACTTCTGTACATTGTTCTGCATCTTTTCTGTTCCACAGTTTTCAAGCTATTTCACCAAATCATAAATCAAAACGTTCAGCTCCTTCAGGACAATCCTGCTGTGACTTTTGGGACTGGGGCAACTTTAGCTTTTTGAAATATTTAGCCTTTTCTGCCATTTTTGTTCTCATAGAAAATTAATTAGGCTCATTTTATATCCCTCAAATCTTTAGATCTGTTTACAACCTTTTACTGCTCCTTTCACATTTTGCCAACTATAGGATTTACCAAGAAGGAACGTCTCAGGCCCAGTGTTGAAACTGGACCATGTGTCAGCCACAGACAGGACCTGGAAGTTGGTTCCACAAGAGAGGAGCCTGATAACTCAAAGAGCTTCCTCCCATTCTGCTTTTGGAGACTCTAGGGACCACAAGTAAACCTGCAGTCTGACTGAGAGCGAAGTGCTCTGTTAGGAAAATATGGAACCATAAGATCTGTAATATAAGATGGAGCTAGGTTGTTGAGGGCTTTGTAGGTTAGACGTAAGAAATAGCTGCAGCTTATTTCTGCAAGTTTAAACTTTTTCTGCTATTTCAGCTACTATTTAACTGTTATTATGCTAATATGAGCTTTTTCAGCTAATTCCACATGTTTTGCACTCATTAAAAAAATTTCAGCCTAAGTCAGCAAAAAATATGCTCTCTCCACTTCCTTCTTGTAATTTCAGCTTCTTTTTGCTTTTTATCTACTTTTCAGCCTTTTTTGGGTGCTAATTTAAGCTTTTTTTTTTTTAAGCTAATTTCCCCTTTTTTATGCTGATTTCTGCTTCTTTCAGCCTAATTGGGCAACTTTGTGCTCTCTCCACTTCCTACTGCAAATGTAGGCTTATTCTACCTTTAGTTTTAGTACCTTAAGTTGAAAATTATATTTTTTAGCATATTTAGCTAATTTCAGCTTTTTTCGGATTAATTCAAGTTTTTTTCGTGAAAATTTCTGCTCCTTTCAGACTAATTAACTCTCCTTCTACTAATTCCAGCTTGGTATGCTCCTTTCAGCTTAATTATGCTAGTTTCAGATATTTCTGCTATTTCAGATACTTATTTAGCTGTTTTTATGCTAATTTGAACTTTTCAGCTAATTCCTCATTTCCGCTCCTTCCATTTCCTTCTAGTAGCTTAAGATTTTTTTCTGCCTTTCAGCTACTTTTCATCCCTTTTTTCCCCCTAATTTTAGCATTTTTAGACAATTTCCTAATTTTCTGCTAATTTCTGAATATTTAAACCAGTTTCAGCAAATATTTGTTCTTTCTGCTTTCTTCTTTAAACTTGTTCTTCCATTTCAGCTATTTCAGTTCCTGAGCATGTTTTTTTTTAAGTTAATTTCAGCTGTTTCTCTGCAAGATAATAAGCATTCGCACTGCATTTTCACAGGAAATGCAATTTCTCTGTATTTCAGTTACGTCACCAGTACGTGTTGAGGGTGGGATGAGAACGCAGTGACGGTTAACTTAAGGTTGGACACGACAGCACGTCACACAGATGGAGCTTCAGCACACAGAAAGAGACGAAGGACTCCACAGAGGAAGTGACAGGCATATGGTAAAAAAAAAGGTCTTTTAAAACAGCACTTCCCCGCTGGATGCAGAACAGGAAGTTGCAGCTTCAACGACTGCAGCCTGGAGTGAATGTGGACCTGCAGCTGTTTTCAGTGAACCAGCAGAGCTGCTGCTCGCTCTGAGGATGTGAACAAACAAATCTGACATGATTATATAATCCAGACAGTCTAAATCACTGAGGATGACTGTAGGGTACCTGCTGTCTGTGAGTCTCCATCTGTCTTTCTGAACCGTCATCACGTGTTCAATACGTTTTATTTCTCCTTCACAACAAGCAGATGGGACCACAAATACTGGGAGGCTGCACGAGAGAACACAACGGGACTTTTCCGTGGCGTCGAGCCTTTGTTGTCGATCGCCGCTGATTTATGGAGGTGATAAAAGAAGAGCGCAACACGACTGCAGAGGAGATACTGAGGGACGCACGGCACGAAATGGCTGCCATAAATACAGACAAACAATATTTACCAACATGATATCGCCTTAAAGCTGAAAAAAGACCGGGCAAGAGAAAATGTTGAAACATCAAATGCTCATACAGAGAAGGATCCAACACTTAGGGGCTCAGCGATGACAGACGCCCCATAGATAAGCGATACATATAAGTATAATTTCAAATAGCTTAAAATTCTAGGAGTCACTAACGCTTGAGTGAAACAAACATGGCTGCAGTTTCAAGAACAAATATTCCAGTGTGACAGGTGCTTTTTCCATCTTTGTGCCCACAAACATCACAGGTAAACCAAGGTCTTACTGCTCTTGTAACAAACAGCTGAGAACATTTTGATTTGGAATCATGCGACAGGAAAGACTTGTAGTTTCTTGTTATTGTTGTCTAAGACTTGTAGCTGTTGGCAACGATAAACTACAAGAGAACAAACGAGAGCTCAGAATCTGATGAAATGACGTCACCCAACGCCCTCCCTGCTTCAGACTGGCATCACCTCATGTTGAGAAACGATGGAGTTAACGTCAGACCTTGAAAATATCTTTCTACTGATCTCATCACCCTCAGAGTGTGCGCTGTGTGTGCATCGTGTTCATTAGCAGTGGCGGCCATCTTTAATTTGAGTTACTCCAAAAGGTAACTGGTTTTAGGATTACATCCAAAGATTTCCTTCTGAGAGTTTCATTAAAATACGTTCAGTGGCTCTTGAGATATTTTGCTAACAGACAAAGCAGTTGACTCCCAACAGTTAATACTACAGTTATACGTGAAAATCGTGCCAAATAAGCAGAACGTGGAGTTTGTCTTATGAATGAATCTTAGCTACATGAAGTTTTAGAACAATGCCTGTTAAAATTACTGGAACCAGTTTAGTGTTTTCTGAGGTCACTGGTCTGTGGTGGCAATGTTCAACTGAACTGGCTCCAAAACAACAATCACTTGTTGAGGCACATTCCTGAAAGTTTCACTAAAATCTGTCCAGTAGTTCACAAGATATTTTGCTAAAAACAGACAGTCGACTCCAAATAGTTCTTGGTAATTTTTTCAGCTAAGCTCTCGAACAATCGGAGCTCTTGACGTGACGGGAATGAATTCATTTTAGATTTTATTTTTTTCATTTACCCTTTAGGTAGTGTCATTAATAATAATATTAATAATAATTACAATAATGGTATAATATCTGTAGAAATGACTGCTTTATTGTTGTGTTTTCTAAGGTCAATTGGCTGTGGCGGCCATCTTGAATCAGGTTAAGTCCACAACTTAATTAGTTGTAGATGTTCATCCAGTTATTACTTTCTGAGAGTTTCATTAAAATCTTTGGCTCATGAAATATTTTGGTGAGAGACTCATAAACATCATCCATCTTTGCCTTTAGGCAGCCGGCGATAAAGATGAAATTTGAGGGGTCCCATGCTTGTATATACCTTGGCCTTTAAAAAATATAAATACGCCTCTGGTTCAAAACAAACTGGAAGATGATAAAATAATGTTGAAGTTTTATTCTAATTTAAACTGTATTCATAGACTTACGGCTACTAATTTGATTTAAAAATTAGCTTAATTGCTGAAAATATTTCACTGGCTGATTTGTAATAAAAAAACAGATGAAAATAATAAACAGATGAAAACTTGCATGTTTATTCATCTGAACTAAAACACCAATTTATTGTCAGACCAGATTTTTTTTATTGTGCGTAAAAATATCTTTACGCACGATTTACGCACGGATTCCTAACAGAATTGCTCTCATCCAGTGCGCGTGATGACTAATAACGCACGCGCCAGGGATGATTAATGTGCGGGATGGCTCATGATGTTCACCCACCCCCTCCCCCCCCACCCCCCTCCACCCCTCACCTGTCCTTTTACGAGGCTGGCAGCAAACTGCCTCATAACCGCCTCCACCGTGTAGGCGCTGGACCACCCGCGGGGGGTCAACAGCTCCATGCAGATGGCCCCCCCGTCCAGCACGTAGCCGTTCTCCAGCCGGGGCGTCAGGACCCGCATGAACGGCGGCGAGAAGGGGAAATTGTCGGGGAAGGTGACGTTGAGCAGGATGAACTCGGTGCTGGTCTCCTTCATGTCCTGCCACAGCGCCGAGTCCTTGTCCACCTGGTGCAGCTTGACGTTCCAGTCGAACAGGTTGTCCTCCACCAGCTCCACACTGATGAAGTTGTCCCCTAACCTCCGGATCTCCTGCAGCTCCTTCATCAGCCTGCGCGTCCGCACCTGGGTGCAGTGCTGCCGGTGAGGCGCCAGCGGTGCTATGGAGGCGGCGGTGGTGGCTTTACTCCCGCCTACTCCCCCACCACCACCTCCTCCTCCTCCTCCTCCACCCGCGGTCTGCTGCTTCTCCTTCGCATCTTTGCTCTGCTTCTCTCTGCCGGTCGGCTTGTCCTTGCCGTGCTGGTCCAGCTTCCTCGCCTTGATCTCCGGGGTGCTCAGCAGGTTGGTCTCGTTGGTGGTCTGACAGTGTTTGTTGGCGTTGTTCTTCTGGGACCCCTTGGTCCCCTTCAGCGAGCCCTGGTGGTGCTTCGGGTCCTCGGTGTCTCGGTCGTGCAGGCGGATCAGACCGATCTTCCGCAGTAAGGTGGCCATAATTTAGGAGGCTTCTACCCGTCCTCCTCCACCTCCTCCTCCTCCTCAGGGGGCGACACTCACCCTGTCGAGTGGGCTCCCGTTCTAAGACTCGACCTCTGGATGCTGATTAGAAACGTCCACTTGTGCCGCAATCCACCTCCCTCCGCTCGCTGCAGCCTTCAGGACGAACAACCGCGCCGGGGAGGAGGAGGAGGAGGAGGAGGAGGAGGGGTGGGGGGAGAGAGATCCTGCGCCGGGTTTCTCCTCAGTGCATCGTCTCAACACGGTGCGACTGGAAGGAAAACACATCAACACGACACATAAACAACAGATCCACAAATAAACATTTCTCCCCCCCCCTTTTTTAAGCTCCTGTTACTGCGGTTGTTCCATTATCGGACGATGCGCTCCGCAGAACCAATGAGGTGATCTGCTGCACTTCAGGACAAGGATGCGCGTTCACCGCGACTGAAACCGTCACTATCAAAGGAGAAACCAAAGGAAGATGATCCGAAGGCTGCAGGACAACTGGCATGAATAATGCAGAGACGCAGGCCACATAAAGCACCGGCCGTCTTTATGGGTTCTATAAAGACAAGGCATCTGTCTAATCTCCATAACTCAATGAGGTATAATCTGTATAATCTATCATTTAGACGTGTATCCCACTGTCCTTAAATGCTCCACATTCTCAAACAGAACATTTCAGCTGTCCGACATCTTACCGTGGACCGGTGAAATTCGGAGAATGCGCGCGCGCTCCGTGTCCCGCCGCGACGCCCCGGACACACGATCCCGCTGTGCGTAAAACGGAGAACAAGCTCCACCGTGCAGTGAGTCCGTGAGTCGGTGCGCGCTGCAGCAAAGAGGAGGAGGGTGATGGTGCTGGTGAAGAAGGAGGAGGACCGTTTTGATGTGCGTCTGCAGCTGCGGCAGCTCCTGCTTTAATGCAGCCGAGGACGAACCCCCCCTCCTCCTCCCCCCCAACAGAAAATCCCTCACCCCTCAGACCGTCTGTTCTCATACGCGGACGGCTGCCTTTCAAAATAAAAGCGCACCAAGTCAAAGCAGGCCAGTGCTCAAACAGCGCCAGTTCATGCATCTTGTTGTTTCCTATTTTCTGATGAGAGCTCTTCACTCTCAGACTGAAGGTTTACCGTGTGTAAAGTTACACAGTCAAAAGTTAACATAAATATTTCGGTTTATTTAACTTTTAATAAGAAAAACGTTTTGTTTTCAAAGTCATAACATGTTATTCATACATTTATAAATGTCATAGTTCCAAACTAAATATTTAATTTACAAGCTAAATATTTAGTTTACAAACTAAATACTTAACTTGCAAATTAAATATTTAGTTAGTAAACTAAATATTTAGGTGTAAATTAAATATTTCATTTTCAAGCTAAATATTTATTTTCAAAACTAAACACATCATTTCCAAACTAAATATTTATTGTCCAAGCTAAATATTTCATTTCCAAACTAACCATTTAAGTTCTAAGCTAAATATTTAATTCCTAAAGTAAATATTTCATTTGCTAACTAAATTTTTAGCTTGACGTAAATATTTATTTTCCAAGCTAAACATTTAATTTCCAAATTGACTATTTAATTTTCTAACTAAATATTTAGCTCGGACGGACCTAAACATTTACCTTGCAAGCTAAGCTAAGGTAGATCTAGTTTACAAGCCAAATATTTAGCTAGCAAGTTAAAAATTTAGTTATCAAATTAAATATTTATTTTGGAAATTAAATGTTCAGCTTGGAAAATAAATATTTAGGTTTGAGCTAAATGTTTAGATAGCAAATTAAATATTTAGTTTAAGAATTAAATGTTTAGCTTAGAAATTAAATATTTAGCTTGGAAATTAAATATTTAGTTTGGAACTATGACATTTATAAATGCATGAATTACATGATGTAAATATGATTTTGAAAAAAAATTTTTTTTTTTTATTTTTTATGAAAGGCTAAATAAACCAAAATATTGCTGTTAATTTTTGACTGTGTAACTTTATAAATGGCCCCCCATATACTTGTGGCTCCTAGAGGCTGTAAAAGTAGAATGGGAGGCAGCACTTTCAATTATCTGACGCCTCTCATGGAACCAACGTCCAGATTTTGTCTGTGAGGCTGACACTCTGTCTACTTTTAAGAGTAGGCTCAAGACTTCCGTATTTGGTAAATCCTATAGTTACAGTTATCTGGGGTTTCCTGAGCTATCCCTTAGTTATGCGGCTTGGACTCCTGAAAGACAAACGGACCACATCCACTCACTCTGGAGCTCTGTCTAAATCGGACGTGGGCAACATATGGCCTGAGGGCCAAAAGTGGCCCTTGGACAATTTCCATCTGGCCCCCAATAGTTTTATCTGAACAGTTCCTTTCAGTTTATTTATATAGCGCCAATTCACAACAAAGTTGTCTCAGGGCACTGAACAGAAACATTCACATACAAAGAGCCAAACAGTAAAGTTCTCTATCTAAGGAAGAGAACAGAAAACATATTTTAAATAAACTAGCATGTTGTCAATGAAAATTGTCTAAATTAAACATTTTGAACAAATACATAAAAAAAAAAAAAACCTTCTGATAAAGATCGGATTAAAGCTAAATCATATTTAAGTCATTTATTTTGGCATTTTTAGGCAAACAAATGTCACAAGGGCCAGTTTACAGAAATAATTTGTTATATTCCTATAGCGTGTTGGAGAGACATATTTTTATCAGACATGATAAGTATGTTACAACAAGGAAAAACTTGACAAAGTCTTCTACATTACCTGTCTTCAAGAAAATGTATTTTCCAATTCTCTATGCGGCCCTTTGATCGCTTCAGATATCTTAATTTGGCCCTCTGGGGAGAAACAGGTTGCCCACCCCCGGTCTAAATCCATTGAACTTGGAGTTCTTGTGTTTCTTTGAAACGGTGAGTCAGAGCCGAGGAATGTCACCACCACTATTATTCACTTTTAGTTTTCTTTTGACTCCCAGCACAATCAGCACCTGCGTGTTTTTATCTAGAGTATAGAGAATGTGAAACAGAACCAAAAGTCCTTTAAAAGTACTTTTTAGGGTAAAGTCAGCAGCTGTAAAGACAGCGTTTGTATGTTTATGAGAAACTAAGAACATTTTTGGAAGTAATTATTTAGCCATTCAGTAGTATCAGAATGATTTATTCTGCTCTTCCTGAACGTTCTTGCCCAGTTTGTCAGTTTAGCTTTCACACACCAAAAGATGAGGACTACCATGTTCAAGCTGTTCATGAAAATTACTACGAAACTATAAAATACACAAAGTACCGTCACCAAAAGAAACAACATGTATGCACAATCAGTATATTACCAACATATATACACAAAGTACATCTTGACAGGTATTACCAGTTTCAAGTCAGTGCCACCTCAGCTAGCTTAAGGCTAACATTTGTGGGAATCTAATTCATAGCTAATAAGTAGCATCTTTGTCACAAATCTTCTTCTTCTTCTTCTTTCAGCTGCTCCCTTCTTCAGGGGTCACCACAGCGAACTAACTTGCACGAAGACTTGACAATGGTTTTTCCTGTGGATGTCCTTCCTGACACAACCACAGACCACTGAGCTACCACAGCCCTCTGTGGAGCAGAGAGCTGCTATCTAGGGTGCCCGGGGAACAGATGGTGGGGGTGAAGGGCCTTGCTCAAGGGCTCAGAGTGGGGCAAATGAGGGTGGCGAAATAAAAACTTTAAAAGAAAGTCAGGGCATTTTTGAAGTGATGTTTCTCCAATGGCTGTCAGTAGTTAATACCTAAGGGTTGTGACATCAGTATGCAGCGCGGAGGGTTTTAACAAAAGTCTTTGTTCAGCAGAGACTAATAATTAGCTATAGGCTTGTTTTTAAAAGTTTTTCAACCTTATAAGTCAACTCTTTCTCAAACATGATATATTAGCTGATTTCAAAGTGTCTGTGCATCTGTCAAAACTGTGCCTGCAGTCAACCTACTTCACATATGGGGAGCAATATTATAGGCAGAAACATGGGTGTGCTATGGGGTCTCCAGTTTCTCCTATTGTTGCCAACCTGTACATGGAGGAGGTAGAAAAGAGAGCCTTGACGTCCTTTTCAGGGACACCACCAAGTCATTGGTTCAGGTATGTTGACGACACCTGGGTTAAAATTAAATCTCAGGAAATCCAACATTTTACTGACCACATCAACTCTGTGGATAAATACATCAAGTTCACACGAGAAGATGTAAAAAATGGCAGGTTGGCTTTCTTGGACTGTGAGGTCTCAGTCTCTGATAGAGGACATTTGCAAACTGAGGTGTACCGCAAACCCACCCACACAGACCAGTATTTGCAGTTTGACTCCCATCACCCTTTGGAGCACAAGTTAGGAGTCATCAGGACTCTGTATCACAGAGCAGACAGCGTCCCCACTAGCTCAGGAGCCAGGCAGAAGGAGAAATCCCACACAAGACAGGCTCTAGAGCAATGTGGATATCCTAACTGGGCCTTCCTGAAAGCAGAGAAGAAACCCAAACAGGACTCCAGTCAGCCAACAGGTGAAAAGGAGGAACCCAGACCCAGACCAGTGGTCATTCCATATGTTGAGGGAGTATCAGAGAAACTGAGACGTTTATTTTCTAAACATAACGTCCCAGTGGCTTTTAAACCCCAAAATACATTACGGCAAAGACTGGTTCATCCCAAAGATCCAGTCCCCCGGCACAAACAGAGTAATGTTGTGTATGCTGTTCAGTGTCAGGAGGGTGATTAGTCTTACATCAGGGAAACTAAACAGCCACTGGCCAAAATGATGGCCCAGCACAGAAGATCAACATCATCAGGCCAGGACTCTGCAGTCTATACTCATCTCCAGACCAGCGGTCACTCTTTCAGGGATGAAGATGTTCACATCCTGGACAGAGAGGAACGATGGTTTGAGAGAGTGTTTCCCCTCCTCCTTGTGTTCAGTCCTTGTCTCACATGTGTCTAATGTTAATCACTGCAGGTGTCTGCCCTTTGTCCCAATCAGTGTTGTGTATTTATTCAGCTCCCTGGTGTCTTGTCTTTGTCTCCGGATTGTCCTTTATGGTATTGTGTTCTGCCTCCCGTCCTGTCCGCCTTGTTTAAGCCCCTTAAGCTGCCCTGTCGGCGCTTTGATTTTGGTTTCTGTAAATAAACCTGGTTTAACTTTTACTCTTGAGCCTCTTGTCATCCTCCTGCACGTGTGTTCAAACACCCCTGATGACCGAACATGACAATTCCTAATCTTATCCATCCTTGTCACTCCTGGAGAACCTCATCATCTTCATTTCTGCCACTTCCAGTTCTGTCTCCTGCCTTTTAGTCAATGACACCGTCTCCAGACCAGACAACCAGTGATGGACAAAGTACTCAACTCTAGTACTTAAGTAAAAGTATTGATACTCATAGTCAAATTTACTCAACTACAAGTAAAGGTTGCTCAGTCAAAAGTTTACTCAAGTTAAAGTACTGAAGTACTTACTTTTGAAAATATTTAAATATTCAAAAGTACATGCATTTAAAAATACTCAATACGTATAATATTTTTTAATATCTGTACATTGCTGTATTGTTTTGAGTGATGTTACAGAACCTTGCACCTCTCTGAAACCACCTGATGATGTAGTGACATGTAGAACCACTCTGCTACAAGGCAACAACACGTGCCTTAGTAAAACCCAGTGGTGATTTTAGCCTCTTTTGGGGGGGTGCTCAAGCACCCCTAAATTTTAACTCGGCACCAATGAAAAATAAAGTAAAAAAATAAAATCAAATCCCCCTTTTTTTGGAGGTGGGGGGAGTAGGTGTCTGGGTTTGGGTTCTGCTTATTGCATTTATGATTCAATGCCACAAAATAAACTGATCTGTTACCATTAAAGAGTAACAGATCATTGTAATACTTGGTTTAGTCACATCATGACTTTAATTTCTGGATGTCCAGCCCCAGAGCTGATAGTAACTGAGCAGTTTAGGTAAATAGCCCTGATTTAGAGGGTGGAATACAGTTTATTCCATTTCCAAAACCTAAACTGAGTCTGGAAAAATATAAAAGATGATAAAGCCCCGCGGCGCAGCCGAATACAGCAGTGATAAACAGGAAGTACCACATGTTCATCTGTACGAAGGTAACTGCAGGTAAATCCTCCATTTTCTGTCATAAATACACTGTATGCTTAACGGTTAAACTAAAGGTTCATGCTTTAAGCTAGCCGTGCTTTGTTGTGTGTTTTGAATGTAGATACATGTTACAACTTCTTGTTTCATAAGTTTAGTCTTTATGTTCAGTTAACACTAAATGGTTTTGTACAGTTTTGTACACAAACTTTGTGTTTTTGAAACCATTAGTGAAAAGGCCAGACTTCAGGGGTATCTGAGGCAGGCTTGAAACACAAGAGTCAGGGTGGCTTCTGGGTAATACCAGATGGCTAGGCCTCAGACTGACGAAGCCTCTTGGATGAGGGGCGAAACGTTTCTTTTTAACAAAAAAAACGAAGTCCAGATGACATGATTCAACCTTTTTTGTTGGTTTTGTACAGTGTTTATTAAAACAGAGCGCTGCGTCTGTAGCATCTTAGCTAGCGCATCTGTTGTGCATGCCGCTAGCTGAGTGCTACTTCTTCTTGTGCCGAGCTCTCTAAAATAATTATTGAATCAAGTGTTTACTTATGGAGGTAAACATCTATGTTTAACAACCCATTAAAATACGCCAGAATGCAGGAAATGGCATCTACTTTATTCTAAATTTTCTGGGGGAGGACCCCCCCCCCCCCCCCCCCACCCAGTGTTCCCCCCCCACATTACGAATGCTTCTGATGTCAATGGCCACCACACTGCTCAAACCAAGAGCCATTGTAAGCACTGGGGACTAAGCGCCCCTAAAGGGCAGATTCTAGAATCGGCCCTGGTAAAACCTGTAAACCACAAATAATCCAGTATCTTCCCATTTTACATTTCTGTGGGAAGTCATGGAAACCCCTAAAAGGTGATGCAAGTTTAGTCCCGTTCCTCGGCTTTATATTCATGTACCACTTGTGTATGTAAAAGTGCATACGCTGACAGCAGCAACGTAGCACGAAACAGTAACACTGACGACTGAAAGTACTGCCACACTTAACATAGAAGCTTACAAAACAATGAATGTTCTGCACTGATGGATCTAACATAATACCTGAACCAACAATTGGCCAATGGCATTTCAGGAAAGAAAAACAGCAACAGCGGATTACAAAGCTGAGCCAAAAGGAACGAGTAACTAGAAGCTTCCTAGAAATGCAGTGGAGTTGTAACTGCGACGTTCCTTCCCTCCATTGACTACGGTGACATTATTTACATGGACGCTCCTACAAGCACCTGCAGATGCTGCCTATCATGGTGCGCTAAGATTCATAAAAGTCTGTACCTACTGTACCCACCACTGCACCCTGTATTCACTGGTTAACTGGTCACCATTAACTTCACGCAGACTTTCCCACTGGTACATTTTCATCTTTAAATCACTTCTTGGTCTGCTGCCTTCATACATCTCCTCCTACGTGTCTCTGCGTGAGTGCAGTTACAGCGTGCACTCCCAGGACATTATTACCTGCAGTGTTCCCTCAGTGTGGACTGAAGGGCCTTCTACTCCACTCGTTTCCTGGAACATTTTGCAAAACGATCTGAAGCGCTCAACCTTGTCGACAGACAGGACAGCCTAAGTGGCTTCAAACTACTGCTAAGTTCATGGCAAAAACCAACGCAGACATGTTTTTAGCATTTTACATTGCTTTACAATGTAGCTGTTTTTTTAATATATAATTTTCTTCCATTTATTTTTTTCAATTTATGTGCTTTCTTTTGTGATTGTCTACTGTTGTCATCATTCTTTGTTAAAAACAAGTGTCTTTTGTAAATGAGGACTAGATGAGAGACTAACCTGTATAAATAAAGGTTGAATGAATAACGTTCACAAGTTATGCAGTACAAAAAAAATACATTTAACTCGTTAATGTTCCATGTGTACGCTCGCTGCGCCATTTTAACAAACAAATTTCATTTAGGCTTTAAACTGACCGAAACTAAACTCCCACACAGCGCATGCGCCTTCTCACCGGCAGCACGACACTTTTAACGCAGCACGGCAATCGACGTAAGCTGTTTCCGTGGCAACAGTGACGTCTATGACAGCGAATGGCTAACGTTCGGTCGTAAAGCGCTGCGGTGCAGCTGTCGTGGTGTCGGCAGCTAACAGCAGTCAGCGAGTTTTCGTCAAAAGAGATTTTCCAAACGCTTTTAATAACTCTTTAAAGATATATCCAAGATGGCCGAAAAGTTCGACAACCTCGAGGAGCATCTGGAGAAATTCATCGAGAACATTCGACAGTTAGGAATCATTGTTAGCGACTTCCAGCCGAGCAGCCAGGCGGTCCTCAACCAGAAGCTGTGAGTTCTTCTCTTTTTCTCCACCATGACCGAACTTTGCTGATAATCACGGCGTTGACCCGAGTTGTTCACTTTGTTCTTTTAGGAATTTCATGATTTCTGGACTACAAGATGTCGAGAAGTGCCGTCAACAGCTTCATGAGATCAACGTTCCCCTGGAGGTGTTCGAGTGAGTCCAGAAGCTTGAGTATATGAGTGTGTGCAGGTGTTTACAGCTCAGATCAGAGGTCTGCAACCCTTACCATCAAAAGAGCCAGTTCTGCCCTTTCGTTCATTCGATGAAACGGGTCCAGAGCCACAAAATCTGCTACAATGGTCATTATCAACTGGTGGCCCATGGGCCACATAAAGCGTGTTGGAGGGAGCTTTTCTGGCCAGTAGGTGTGAAATTATAAAACTAACAACATCTCATGATCGTTTACATTTATTGATATTTTTACTTTATGAGACAAAATAAATGACTATTTCATTCATTCATTCATCCATTCATTCATTCATTCATTCATCCATCATTCATCCATTCATTCATTGTCTTTATCCATTTCTTCCTTTTCAAGTGCATCATATCCAGGTTGCAAGTCTTATCACAGAAAACTGAATTCTTGTAAAGACAAATATATATTTTGCCCATTAAAAGGAAAAACTAAAACAATGCTTATGCAATTTTCTTTTTAATTTTTGAGTAATATCCTCCTTTTGAAGAAATAAAGCATAAAGTTAAAGTGAGTATAATTTATTCTGTGTATACAAGTATCCACATATTCGCAAGAGAATTGACAGGAAAACAGCTAAAACTAGTCTTTTTTGTTGTTGTTGTGAGTATAATATCCTAAAAAATTCTGTTTTATGTGAGTTTTGGTCAAAACATGAAAGAGTTGCTGTGGAGGGACCAAAGAGCCGCATGTGGCTCCAGAGCTGCAGGTTGCAGACCCCTGACTTAGGGTGTATATGGGTATATACAACCTAGTGTGTTTGTGTGTGTATGTATATATATATATATATGTGTATATATGTGTATGTATATATATATATATATATATGTGTATATATATATATATACATACAGGTGCTGGTCATAAAATTAGAACATCATGAAAAAGTTGATTTATTTCAGTAATTCCATTCAAAAAATGAAACTTGTATATTATATTCATTCATTACACACAAACTGATATATTCAAATGTTTATTTCTTTTAATGTTGATGATTATAACTGACAACTAATGAAAACCCCAAATTCAGTATCTCAGAAAATTAGAACATTACTTAAGATCAATTTAAAAATATATTTTTAGAAATGTTGGCCAACTGAAAAGTATGAGCATGAACAGCATCAATACTTAGTTGTTGCTCCTTTTGTCTGTATTTCTGCAGCAATGCAGCGTGGCATGGAGTGGATCAGTCTGTGTCACTGCTCAGGTGTTCTGAGCCCAGCTGGTCTACCAGAAAGTTTTCCTGCTGCTGACCAACTTTATGCAGATGCAGATTTAATTTTCCAACAGGACGTGATGCCTGCACACAGTGACAAAGCTACCAGTACCTGGTTTAAGGACCATGATCCCTGTTCTTAATTGGACAGCTAACTCGCCTGAACTTAACCCCATAGAAAATCTATGGAGTATTGTGAAGAGGAAGATGTGATACACCAGACCCAACAATTCAGAAGAGCTGAAGGTCACGATCAGAGCAACCTGGGCTCGTAACACCTGAGCAGAGACACAGACTGATCCACTCCATGCCACGCTGCATTGCTGCAGTAATTGCCAGTTATAATCATCAACATTGAAAGAAATAAACATTTGAATATATCAGTCTGTGTGTAATGAATGAATATAATATACAAGTTTCACTTTTTGAATAAAATTACTGAAATAAATCAACTTTTTCATGATATTCTAATTTTATGACACGCACCTGTACAACATATTATGAAGCGCAGCACAATCGCCTGTCGTTCAAATGTACATTTTGCCTCATCTCTACATATTATCGTGCATTGTATAGAAATTCTAATAATGACTTCAGTGATTTAGGAATTATCTGGAGTCTTAAATAATTTGTAAAATCTGGTCCGCTCCATTACGTAGAGATTATGTTTTAGCCCATATAAATGAATGTTTATCTGTGCTCGTCCTCACCATGGTCTGACGTTGAACCTTGTTTGAAGGTACATTGACCAAGGCCGAAACCCTCAGCTGTACACCAAGGAGTGTCTGGAAAGAGCCTTGGCAAGGAACGAGCAGGTCAAAGGGAAGATAGACACTATGACGGTAAGAGATTATATCAGGGACGCTGGCTTTCCCCACTGACTGTGTTCAAATAAACAGCAATCAAAAGTATTTTGTTGATGAAATATTCACAATAAGAATCTCTAAAGATCAAACGGTTCTTGTAACTTAATGATTTTTTTTTTTCTTACACAAACCTGGCAGTTTGTTTTTAATCCATATGTTTTTAACCTATAATTATCTGTGCCTTACGTTTTCTCATTGCTTGACCGTAAAATTAAACACTGAGAATTATTGATTTAGGCCATGTGGTAGTTTAGTCATGAACACATTATTTCAAGTCTTCGTAAGAAAAAGAAAACGAGTTATAAATTGTATTCTTTTTTCCCCGCAGAAATTCAAGAGTCTTTTAATTTCCGAACTTAGTAAGGTTTTCCCAGAGGAAATGGCCAACTACAGAGCTATACGTGGAGAAGATTCACCCTCCTAGAGGCTGCTGGAGATTATTCCCAGGCTGACCTCCAACCTGTGACCCCCCCCCTGGAATGAAAGCCTGGAAGGAGTTTAACAAAGCAGGAAGCTGCGACCGCCAACAGCTGATTATTATTATTGTTGTGCGATGCTGTTGGCGTCTGGAGCGAGGAGGTTTCATATCCGCCTCAGCTAGTCGTTGCCTTTTTGTAAATTGAAACACTTTGTCAAGCGAGTTTTGGAGAACCAGACGATTTTTATACAACAGGTTTGTGCGTTCGGAGATATTTCTATAAGCGGATACAATAAATCACCAGTATTTAACGCTTGAAGCTGTACAAACAACAAGCTGCAGTTCTGTATGAAGGATTGACTCCATCAGGCACAGGTACTGAATATATACACTCTTATTACTGACCTTTTTGTAGTACTACTTTGTTGTTGTGCACAGTTTTATAACATTTTGAGTCTGAGGGTAGTAGCACACTTGTTACAGACTAAACTGTGATCAACTTTCCATTGCAGTTTCACTGAATCGAGTGCAGTCATCGAGCCGAGCAGTTAGTTTTTGAGGATCACGGTCTGTTTTCATGTGCACGGTTTGCAGAGCTCTATTCCACACGCATCGTTCAGTTGCATACCTGCATCGGCTCACGATCCCCTCTTTGGCAGCTGTCCCCTTATTTATGACTTCATCTACTTTTCAGTTGGCAGGTTTGAATCTTTTTTTTTGTTTTGTGTTGATAATTGGTGTGGGTTATAGATTCGGACAGTTGGGGCTGTGGCTACAAATGTCGTGCGAGCTCCCCGGCAGGTGTCGAAACAGCTCCAGTTTTTTTTTTTTTTAGAATTACTGAAACTAAATCGAGATGAGATGGAAAATTTGACTCAAATCTTTTGAACAAGTGCTGTAAGCGTTTGTGACCGATGCAAAGAAACCGAGAACCCTCGCAAACGTTTAAGACGGGAGACTCCCATGGGAGTGCTAACGTTTCACCCGCATAAAGGCCGTGATGACGTCACGCCTAAACGAGGTCTCACCGTTTCACGGTTACAAAAAGAATCCAGGCTTTTTGTACATTTGTACATCAGTGTTTGTAAATAAGTGGACCTTTTGAGTTCTGTTCATCTGTTTTATGCCTGAGTCAGCATTTTGTAAAATGTAACTGTCAATAAAGTAATTGCGTACTTTGGAAGAGACTGAAGTGTTTGCTCGTCACCCTACATAATAAACTCAATCAGAGCTACATGTGCTGTGAGTTCACGTATTTAAAGGGCTTGATTCACTTCCTGGTCATGTGATTTACAAGAAAAGCTTATTCTTATTTATCAAAATATAAAACTTTATACAACGAGGTAAACATCCGACGTGTGCTACACTTAATGTAATGATCATGACCACAGATGTGCAGCGCTCTGATGCTGCCATGGAAACAAGATTTTTACTGCGCTCACTTTGCAGGTGAATAATGGTGAGAATATAAATATGTATAAAACATGGGTGTAGTTTCATCAGTCCAAAGATTGTTTAGAATCACGATGATCGATTTAATTTGGCTTCAATTGCTTTTTGTGGTCAATTGTGATCGATCAGCACTTTTACAAAAACTTAAGTTCTAAATAAGTAGAAAGTTAAATAAAAGATGTCCAATGGATAAATCCACTAAATTAAATACTCTTCACAATTGTTCCCTTTATTTCAAACATTAAAGAAATATCACTTGCTCTCTTCAAAAGCTCTAAATATTTTAATACAGGGTGCACGGTGGTGCAGTTAGAGCTGCCGCCCCTCAGCGAGAAGGTTGCCCCGGTTCAAATCCCAGCCGGGGGCCTTTGTGGGTGGAGTTTGCATGTTCTCTGTGCATGTGGGTTTTCTTCGGGTACTCCAGTTTCCTCCACAAAACAAAACCGTGCATGTTATTAGGCTGATTGGTAACTAAATTGTTGCGCTCAAGGTGGCTGCATGTTGGAGTATCTGTTAAATTCATTCTGACATGTTGCTTTTGAAAACTTTAAATCCTATTTTTTCTGGATATAAATCTTTTTTTTTTTATGATTATTTCCTCTGGTATCGGATGCTGTGCAGCTGGAAGGATTGTTACTGAAACTTTTTGACTTTTGGACATTTGATATGATGTGTAACCATAACAAGGTGTTTTTTTATTTTTTTTATTTTATTTTATTTTTTTTAACAACCAGAAGCAGCTGATTAACATCTCAAATATTCAAGTTACGTTTATTTGTCATATGCAGATTAACACAAGGTTATGAAATGTTCAGCATGAGAAGAACTGATTTGACTCGCTAAAAACAACAAACAAACAAGAAATACTAATACTCCCAATAATACTCCCAACAAACTCAATAAGGATTAAATACATGCTGACCTCTGTTCAATCTCCCACTCTGCCTATACTACTGTATTGTAAATAGTCTGCCATTCTCAATGTTCAATACATACTGAACATTATTGTTATTATTTATCTCATTTCTTTATATATTGTTTTTAACATTTTAGAAACTTATTGTGTGAATCTTTTAATCTGGTGCTGCTATTACATTTGAATTTCCCATCTGTGGGGCAATAAAGGCTGTTTCTATTCTATTCTATTCTATTCTATTCTATTCTAAAGCATGCAATAAGTGTGCAAAATAAAGTACCAAAAAGTGAAAAAATAAATATATTTCCAAGGTCCTAAAGAAATATAGTAAACAACAACACGGTAGAATATAACCGTGCAAGTGATGAATTACTATAAATAATTACTTCACAGGCAGTAATGCACGTTTAAATTTACATGATATATATTGCACATAACATAAACTACACAGGTTGTGTGGCAGGTTATTGCACAGGTAGTGGGGAACATCGAAATGAATTATGATGGTAAGGTAGTGACATACTGTACAAGATACACAGCCACATAGTGCAGCAGCAATAAACATATTAGCTGTCACATGTGGCTTGGTACAATGTTATTGTCAGTTCAGTATTATTATTGAGAGTTCAGTAATCTGACAGCTTGTAGCTGTCTTTGAGTCTTTTCGTGCGTGATGGCAGACTCCTGTATCGTCTGCCTGGGGTTAGTAGACGGAAGAGTCCTTGTGCTGGGTGGGTGTGGTCCTTAATGATGCGGCGTGCTTTACGCAGACAGCTGTGGTAGATGTCCTGGATGTTGTGGAGACTGCTACCAGTCATGTCCTCTGCTGTTTGCGCCACCCTCTCTAGTGCTTTCCGACTGACTGGTGCAGTTCCCGTACCATCACGTGATGCAGCCTGTCAGCAGGCTCTCAGTGGTGCACCTATAAAAGTTGGTGAGGATGCTGGTGTTCGTGCCAAACTTCTTTAGTCTTCTTAGGAAGTAGAGTCTTTGTCAGACTTTCTTGACCACAGTGTCTGTATGTACGGTAATGTCCAGGACAAATTCTCGTTGTGAACATCAAGAAACTTGAAGCTGCTGACTTGCTCCACCTCAGCTGGCCTTCACGCTGTTTCCCCAAGTCCACTATCATCTCCTTCTTTTTGTTGACATTTAGAGAGAGGTTATTTTCCTGACACCAGCTGGTCAGTGATTTCACCTCATCTCTGCAGGCACTCTCGTCATTGTTGATGATGGTGGAGCATACTTGAGGATGACGTTTGAGCTGTGCTTTGCGGTAGTACCTCAACTACAGCCCCAAATCCCAAATGTGTTGAAAAGGAGGCGTCATGGATGCATTCCCGTCTACCTGGTGGTGGTGCTTGAGTACCTGACCACCAAGATCCTAGAGCAGGCGGGAAACACGGTTTGTGACAAGAAGACCTGGATCATCTGCAGCTGGCTATCTGTAATGATGAGGAGCTCAACAAGCTGCTGGGAGGAGTGACCAATGGTCAGGGAGGAGTTCTGCCCAGCAGTCAGGCGGTCCTGCTGCCCAAGAAAACCGAGAGACCCATCGGGTCCATGTAGACAGAACAACGTCCAACCAGTTTCTTCAGATCCGCTGAGGGAGATCCTTCCTGCTCACAGCCGTCAGCATCTAACAACTCTTTCAACCAGGGGAATGAGTTACAACAACATTTAATTTGTCTTTGGGATTAATACAATATTATTGAATTGAATTTGAATTTTTAAATTGTCCCTAGGTGTGAGTGAGAGAGTGAATGGTTGTTTGTCTTGTTTGTCTCTATGTGTTCCTGTGATGGACTGGACACCTGTCCAGGGTGTACCCCGCCTCTAGCACAGTGATAGCTGGATATGGGCACCAATAACCCCCATGACCTGAAAAGGAAGAAGAGGGTAAAGATAATGGGTGGATGTTTGTTATAAATCAAACAGGATCAGAAATATGCAAATCTACTCCAATGTGTCCTAGTGAAACAGTTTTCAAAGTCAGTTCAGTGACTTGTGTATTTCTTGAATACCTTGAGGTTCTGCATCCATTTGACCTGTTTGAAAACAACCTTTTGTGTAAGGTTCAGCCTTCTGTATAAATCATGACGATCATTATAACAGTATCTTGTTAGAATCATTCATTTGACTGAAGGGGACAGGAAACTAATATTTAATGTGACAAACAGGTTAGGACGAACACAGTTCTGTCATCACCATATACTTAAAGCTGTCTTTAGTTATCAGTTGATTCTCCTAAAAGGCCATCTAACGATCTATAGCCGCTTGCCATTGATAACTATGTCTCGAGTCTGTTCTTGTTTTATCAGTTCTTCTCAGGTGTGCTTTGTAGGTGAATTGCCACCGTGACTTGTTTCCTTGCTTTGTGGGTGGGATCGTCGATGCAAAGTGGGTGAGCATCGCAACTGTAATCTGACTTCAATTTTCTTTAGTTCATCTTGGCACTGCTTAAAGGTCTCATTCTTGGTTCACGGTACTACTTTTGCAGCTTCCATACTGAACTAGAAACTAGAAAACTTGGAAAAAATAATAATAGAGTGGATCATCCAGTGACGATGTAGCTCCACTGGTCAGTCAACAACTGCTGTCTTCTTACGTCAAAATTGTCACCTTGGAGCAATTTGCTTGGAACCATGAACAAAGTGGTCCCATAAACCATGCAGAGTGGGGGTGGGTACCGGCAGTGGACAGGCCTGTAACTGGTGTGGTGTAGAACCAATGAGTGTAGAGAGAGTGACAAAGTGCCATTCTTAAAGCTATTAAGCTGTTAGGCCTCATCCACTGTTACAACATAATTCTTTTTACTTCTAATTTAGTATTTCTGTAGTAAATCCTAAGTTTAGCACTCTGTGTTCTTATGATGCCTTTTAGGCAACTAGTTCAAATGTAACTGGGAGCTTACAACAGCCATTAATGCAAAACCTAGTTCAAAACTAGTAATTTATAAACCAGTTAGTGCTCAATCAATAGCAATAGTATGAAGCGTCACCAATCGTGGTGCCATCCAAAATACGTAGCAGTAAAAGCACTCATTCTGACTCAGACATGAACTGTTTGCAGTTTTTTTAAAAGGCCAT